GAATATCACTGTGACGAGTGCCTTGCCAGCTTCACCTCAAAGTCATCCCTAAAGCGCCATCAACGCAAACACAAGGACGAAGATGGCCTCGTGTGCCCCACTTGTACCCGCAAGTTTTATCGCCGCGATCACTTTGTACGCCTCGCTCATTTCCTCTCTGGTTCCCCCTGGCACCCGCTCGCTCGTCCAATGGCAATGACAACCACCATCGCCTCCTTCCTACCATCGCCTCTGGCTCGGCGCTGCTCGCAGACACATGCTCATCCCACCACCCCTCCTCTGTTCCCCCACTCTCGTGTCAACACCATAGCGATATCATCTTCGTGCAGTTCATCGCATAGAAGCCGAGGGATCAGGAGACGTCGTTGACATGGTTCAACAGGTCGCCCGCCAGCCCCAGCCAGCTCACGAGGCGCCTCAAGTCCCAGGCCTAACGTCCGGTCATAGAGCCACGGCAGTGCCCAGGCAGCAGACACGTACCCCACCAGCCCAGAGCCCCAATCAACCGGCCCGCGGCCAGGATCAACTCAACCCGCGCAGCACTTCACTCGCTCTTGCTCAAAACATCTCCTCTGCCAACCAGACATGGCCTTTTCAGCCCAACCAGCACCCCCTTTTGGCCCACCAAGCAGTATTACAGCAAACCTCTCAGCAACAATCTCAGGGGTCGCCCTACAATCAACTCCAGCACAAAGGACAGCTCCAACTGCAACAGCTCAATCAGATCCAACACCACCTTCAACAACACCAACACCACCAACACCACCTTCAACAACAACAACAACACCTTCAACAGCAACAACAACAACAACAACAACAACAACAACAACAACAACGTCTTCATCAACAGCAGCTCCATCAGCTCCAACAGCACTCAACGCTAATCGAGCACCGACAACACCAGCCCGAGACGTCACCAGTGCCGTACCAGGGGTTGGCTCGGGCCTCGGGCCTACCGGTCCAACTCTTGCCTGCCACGACAAACTCCGCACTTGGTCTCATTTCGGTGCCAGGGCCTCAAGAATTAGCCTCTCAAAACTCCATCAGCCAGCAGCTGGTCTTCTCTGATGCCACCAGACCTGCAAATTTCAATACCAATCCCAGCAGCATCATGCCAACCTTTGCATTGCCTTCAAATACCATCGAGTCCCTTTCCTTACTGGCCAATTCTTCAGCATCCAACGATGTTGGAAACGGCAGCGACAGCACAATCGGCAACGTGTCCAGCCATCTTAGCTTTGAGAACGACTCCAGCTCGAGCTTACAGGCGCCTACATCAACACTGACCTTGCCGCTGTTTGCACCTGGTCTACAAGGCTCAACATCTCGAGTCGCGGCCTCGGGCTCCTCAGAAGGTATTGCTCACCCATCCCTTCCTGGGGAAAGCTGGAATTGGCTCAACACGGCTCTGACTGCATCAACCCTCTCCCAACAAACCACACACTCCCCTTCCTTTCCTGTCTTCTCCAACGCTCCTTGCGTGGAGACGGGAAATGTGTCCACATCGACCGTCTCTGCGCCATACCCGACCGCAACCTCGATCTCAGTCAATGCACAACTGACTCAGCAGCCACCAGGCATCGAAACCATCCTACCACCAGAGCTGCTACAGCAGATGCTGTTGCCACGTGCCGACCAGCAGCCACAACACACCTTTTCACGGCTGGAAAATTCTTTGATCTCAGGCTTGCCTGACAAGATCTGGTCCCCAATCCAGGCGACCGGCCATAGCGCACCCCAGACAGCTGGGCACGACACACCTGCACCGCAATATAGCAGTATGGCGCAAGACAGCACCTGGGCTCAACAGAGCAGCAGACTGGCTCGTGGTACCTCAATGGGTACTGTTCCAGTCACACGGACCATTGCTGGCGCAGACACGGTGTCATCCACACAGCAACGGCTGGATGGCCCACCCAACCCTGGCGGGCGCTGAAGATCGAGCGCCGCGGCTGCCAAGAGAGATTGTCAGCCTCAATAACGCTGTCACCGTCTCCTAGATAACTGGGTGTGCTAGACTTTTCTCAGGCCTTTTCCCTTCAGGCTGATGAGCCCACGCCGCAAATCGGCACTCATCTTCAGCTGATGGAGAAATTACTACCCTCTG